CAAACAGAGGGTCAAGAAATAATGGAACTCAGTATGGCTAGTGTTGAACCATGTCAAATGTGGTTCGATGGATCAAAAGCCAATGGCCTAATTGGAGTTGGTATAGTAATCAAGTCACCACAAGGAATTGAAACCACACATGGTTTCAGAATAGATGGAACCGCTTGTTCTAATAATCAAGCTGAATACAAAGCTTTGATAGTAGGATTGGAAATTCTTATTGGATTACAAGTACATGCAGTTGACGTATTTGGAGATTCCCAATTGGTCGTTAACCAAGTAAAAGGGATTTTCAAGTGTCAAAGTATAAGTATGCTGCCTTATTATGTCGTCGCATTACATTTGCTCTCTCAATTTGAAATAGTAAATGTAACTTATGTCCCGAGATTCTTGAATAATAGAGCTAACGATGTGGCGCAGAAAGCTTCGAATTTAAAGAGTAAAGATGGCACCCATTGGGATGTAAGCCAAACGACATACCAAAAACCTATACCTCCTTTAAGTAAGAGGAACATGGTCCTGGAAATCAATTATAATGATCTGCAGGAACAGGATTGGAGACATCCAATAATACAATACTTGGCTGGCCCATCCTCGAAAGCCAGCAGAAGAGTTAAATTGCAATCTATGCAATATATCATACACAACAATGATCTCTACAAGAGAGGGGGAGATGGTCTATTGTTAGAATGTTTAGGGCCAAAAGAAGCATTAATAGCTATGGCTGAAGTTCACGAAGGTATCTGTGGTGCACATCAGCCTGGTGTAAAAATGAGATGGCTGCTTCGAAGACATTCCTATTATTGGCCGACTATCCTTAAAGATTGCATAGAATATGCAAAGGGCTGCCAAGCATGTCAAAAGCATGGTACAAAAAGGCATGTGCCCATAACTGATCTACATGCAGTAGTAAAGCCTTGGCCATTTAGAGGATGGACCATGGATATGATGGGGAAAATACACCATCCCTCTTCGAAGCATCATTGTTTTATTCTGGTGGCTACTGATTATTTCACCAAATGGGTCGAAGCCAAACCATATAAAGCTATAGATCAGACGGAGGTTATTGGGTTCATTAAAGATTTGATCCATAGATTTGGCATCCCACAAACGATAACGGTCGATAATGGGACTGTTTTTGATGGGAAAATGGTGAAGTCTTTTGTGGCTGAGTTCGGGATTAGCCTTGTGAATTCCACTCCATACTACGCACAAGCCAATGGTCAAGCTGAGTCATCTAACAAGTCCTTAAAAAAGGGAATACAAAAGGTTGTGGAAGATAATCCGAGAGATTGGCACAACTTATTGTTAGATGTATTGTGGGCTTATAGAACTTCCCCAAGGTCAAGCACGGGAGTCACTCCTTATGCCTTAGTTTATGGGCATGATGCAGTGTTACCAGTGGAGGTTAATGTTAAATCCTTAAGGGTAAGATCCCAAGATCAGTTGGATCCTGAGCAGTACTGTCAAAGTATGTGCTTGGAATTAGAAGATATAGATGAAGCTAGAATTTTTGCATTGAATAGCATTCTCTTACAGAAGAAGAAAGCAGCCAAAAATTATAACAAGAAAGTCAAACACATTGGCTTTGATGAAGGTGATTTGGTGTGGAAGACAATACTCCCAGTAGGGATTAGAAGCCATAGATTTGGCAAATGGTCACCCAACTGGGAAGGACCATACCAAATTCATAGAGTTTTGCCTTTTAGGGCATACCATTTGAAAGATCTGAGTGGTCATGTGCATCCCAAAAAGATTAATGGCAGATATTTAAAACCTTATTTTTCAACTATTTGGGAAACACAGGGAATAAAATAAACAGTGAATACAAGAACATAAACAAGGAAATGCTTTATAAAGAGTCGAGTACATTGTGCCACAAGTTGGCCTAAAAATCATTACAGTGTTTTAGCTGTTTTTGTACAACAGATTTCCTATTTGTAAATGATGCAAACATTTGAATAGCTGCAGTCATATCTTTCTTGTGATCAGCCAGTCCTTGATTGGTGATTTGCAGTTTGAGGTCAGTTCGGATTAAGGCTTGATTCACTGCAGAAAGTTCTTCTTCGAGTTGAGCTTTCCTCTCCAGCAATTGAGTTCGGAAGTGAGAGGCAGAGGAGTGTTGTTCCTTAAGCGTTGATACATCAGTATGCACTTGAGAAACAAAACCTTGATCTCTGACCAATTTCTCATCTGCGGCCTTGGCAGCATGACAGATGCTAATGTAAAACTCAATGGTAGCTGCTGCCTGAGATAGATGGTTAGAGACATCCATACCAGACTGCTCAGCAAGTTTGCAGCATTGAAGAAACCCGTTTTTTATTATAGGCCTTTGTAGAGCCTCGAAGGGAATCCTCGAAAAAAAAATTAGCAGGTCTAGACAGATGTCTAAGTCTATCGAAGGCACAGAAGGTTAGCTGCTGAAGGAAGGAGAGCTCCCAAAGATTTCCAGCAAAGAATCAGCTAAAGCTAATGGCTCAGTCTCCTCATCGAATGACGGAGAAGTAGAGGTGATGTCAAAAAGGCTAGCTAATCTTGCTTCAAAAATATCAATTTCATCAGTAGACATGAGGGGAGCAGAAAGAGTTGCCTTGGGAGACACAGGAGATTGCATAGCAACAGGAGAAATGGGTGGAGCATCTTTGATGGTTTCCATGGTCCTGGCCACCAATGAATCAAGAGAAGGAGGGCTGGAGCTAGGTAAAGATGGTGAGTCACGAATTGGAGAGCTGTCAGCACTCATCAAAGACAAGGTAGCACTTGGAGCCTCCTTGGAAGGGGAGAGAGGAGCAAGACTCAGTAAATAAGTAGATTGGGGAAAGTCAAGAGTCAAGAGAGAAAGATAGGGAGCTAAACCAAGAGGAAAAGGTATAGGGATGCTTGGCCTCAGGAAAAGTGTAGAAAATCTAAACCCTGAAAAGGGGAGTATGGTCTGAGTAGTCCCTACATCCTGCGTCTGATTTGCCTCGAATGAAACTGAGAGAGGAATCGGAAAGATGAGCTCAGAGGTTGCTGCTGCATGAGGAAGAAATGTAAAGCAATGTCAAAACTTGATACCAAAGGCTAACAAGGGAAAAATCGCAAAAGAATAAAATTACCTGCTTCAGAAGTATCGGCGATAATAGGGGAACTGCGAAGGGTGTAATCTCTGGCAGTTTGTGGACTTTTTACAGTTTCCCTTTGTGGTATGTCAGCAGCAGCAGCTTCATCTCTCAGAAACTATTGCTGCCGTCTCTTCTCAGCTCTTTCAAAGACAATCATGGCTTTAGGATGTTCTTGCTCTATTGTCTTGATGGCTGCTTCTTCGATGGTATCTTCGACTGAGATAGGAGCAGGAGCAGACACCTTTTTTCTCTTCTCTATGGCTTTGGCGATTGTCTCAGAATCAGAGTCTTCAACCATATCGGAAGGAGAAACAGTCATCTTTCTTTTCCTTTTCCTCCGTATTGGTTGGGTCTGTTTTTTCTCAATTTCTTTCTCAAACTTTCCCTCAAGCTCTTCAAGCTGCGATCTAGATTCCAGAGAAATGAATTCATCTTCTGACTCTCTGGCAGTTACTGAGTAGGATGAAGAGACGATCGCTTTCTTCTTTCTTTTTAAAAGTAACTCTTCCTCTTCATCTAATTCTTCCTTTTCTTCCTCTTGAATATTGGGTGTTCCTTTCTCGAGTTCAAAGAGGCTCCTTTTCTTTTGTGATGGACCACCTCCACGAAAGAAGAATTAAAGATAAGGCAAAATGCATTACGAAAGACAAAAGAAGAAGAGACAAGGGTATACTTTTCTTCGAGGCAGCCCGAGTGACTCTGGGAGGAATTGAAGCAGCAGGAGCAGTATGTGCCAATTCTGAAACAGTGGAAGAAGTGTCCCCCCCCCCAGTTTCTTTGGGCTTGGTCACATCTAGCACTGTTAGTAGGCTTGAAGGTGGAATGGCCAGATAAATCTCCATGTTAGTTACCCACCAGTTTTGGTACCTCTTCAACACGGTACCTTGAGGAAGAAAAGGGGTGAATTCAAAGTTGGCCAAGCCATCTACAAATTTCAGAGTTGCCTCTTCTAACCTTGATTTCCGAACTTTCAAGTCCCTTCTGGTGAGGCTGAGATTTGTGTTGCTACAAAGGGGTATTGGGACCCCTTGTGAAAGGCCAAATTGTCTAGCAAACTGCCCTGGACAATAAGGTTCAGCAATACATTTATATGCCTTCGGGTTTAAAGTCCCAATAAATAGCTCTCTAGGAATCAGAATGGAAGCCCATATATCCTGGTGAGCAAGTGAAGTACAGGACTGGTCGCTTAGGAAATTCCTCAACCAAGATGGACCTATGGAAGGTTCGAAGGGACGAAAGCGAAAAGTAAGAAGGGAGGCTGGAAGCTGATGAAAGAAAGAGAAGTAAAAAGCAAAGGTAGAAGGGTAAAGTGAAGCATTGGCTATCCTCATGCTATGGATAAGAGGGTTTGGTTCAGAAAATTTAAGGCATTTGGATTGTAATTCGGTAAAATAGGCGAAAAGCCAAAACTGAAGGATCTAGAATGGCCCCCCTTGATAGCATCTAGGGGCTTCTCACAAAAAAGGGAGCAGACCCTATATACATGCCCTAGAACATGTGGGGCTAAGGCCACCTTTTTCTGTAAAACAAAGGCTTTGGCAAGAGGGGCAAATTCAGGCATAATTCTCTGAGAGGAAGTGCAAAAAAGGAATTTACAAAGCCAATACAATAAGAAAGAAAAAAAAATTCCCTATCAGTCACAGGGCCCTGTCTTTTATTCTCAGCCCTAGCGAAATCACTATATAGTCACCAATGAATCAAGAGAAGGAGGGCTGGAGCTAGGTAAAGATGGTGAGTCACGAATTGGAGAGCTGTCAGCACTCATCAAAGACAAGGTAGCACTTGGAGCCTCCTTGGAAGGGGAGAGAGGAGCAAGACTCAGTAAAGAAGTAGATTGAGGAAAGTCAAGGGCTATCATCCCACATCTAAATTGGAAAAAGTTAATGACAGGATTCCAAAAACATAGAGCAGCGGGAACAAGGAAAGGGTCTTCTGAAATAGTTACCCTAGACAGTCTGAGAGCATCGAGAAGGCAGAGTTCTTGAAGGTCCAGGGTCCGAGCAGGAATAACCCGATCATACCACTCTTGCCACTCTGGTCTCACCGTGGGCCAGCATCGGTGGGGGCGATTCATCCTCCAGTTCCTCCAGTCAAGACTGCCTTCATAGAGAAGACATTGGTTGTCCAGTCGGGCATACAAGGCTGGAAGTTCAGTGAGGACCTCTTTGAATATGGGCCCAAGTACGTAGTCCGATTGCACGTGGCGTCGAGGAACAAAGATGCGTCCATCAATAGCGCTCTTCTCCCCAGCTTTGTACTTTTCGCATTCTGCATCAATAATCCTCTTCAGGGCCACAGATGGGCTCATACGCTCTACGGCTGATACTGAAAGAGAAGCCATTGACGGTATGCTTTTCTTCGGAAAGGAAGTAGAGAGAAGCCAACGATCGGTAATAAGAGAGGTTTGTGCGATTAGAAGAGCAAGTGATTTCAGAACGCGAAACAAAAGGGTTTTAAAAGCTCTCGCATTTAAAAATATATTACATGAGCTGTTAAGTATTAAAAGTACGAGTACAAAAGCTTCCTTTTTTTTTTTTTTGGAGGGAAAAAACAAAGCCCGGTTGTTAAGACTAGCTTCGAGATAAGATATTTCGCTTCGAAGCCGAGTCAAACGGCTTCGAAAACAGAGGAGCCAGCTTCGAAGTGGGTTGCCCTAACCAAGAAGTAAAAATACTCGAGTATTTATTTTTAAAAGGGCTTAAAGACCTGTTTTAGGTTCTTTAACAAAGGTAATGTCCTTCGAAGCAAAACTTGAGTTTCTTTGACAAAGGTAATGTCCTTCGAAGCAAAACTTGAGTTTCTTTAAGGATGGGATTTGGTGTTCGAAACATTAATAATCACAGTGACTAGATGTTGACTGTGGTCAAAACAGGTTTTGAATGTAAGATTGTTAGATTCGAAGCACTGTTCCCAATTAAAAATCAGCCAGAATTCAACTCCACAAATTGGAAAGGTTACAATTGGCTCATTTAATGTTTTATTTAAAAACAATTAAGTCCTAATTTAAAGGATGAAATTGTTCGAGGTTCGAAGCTCTGAGTTGACTTCTAAAACACAAGTAAAAATACAAGTGAAGACAGGGTCAAACAAAGACAAATTTTGTTTATATTAAGATCAGAGTGATTACATCAGCTGACCCTATCTCGGTATGAACTCGAGCTCGTAAAAATAAGGAATGGAATAAATAACAAGATCATGAAATTTGGTCCAACAATGGTCAATAAACTTTTGTTCTTTCCTTATTCTATCTTCTAAATTTTCTACCATTGGCTGCATGAGTTGATGTGCTCTCACTTCATGGTAGAGCTCTTCAGCCTTTATTTCGAAGGCCACCTCTCTTAACCCTTGTTCCAATTCATCAATGTCTAAATCATCCCAATAGGCAGAGTCTTTATTCTTGAAATCATTGAATTCTTCCATAAGGTTCTCTGCTTCGTATTGAGTATGAATTCGAAGGGACGAAAGCTGGTCTAACGATTGTGTAGTAGCCATAGAATTACGATGCCAGTGAAGGAGTAATGGAAGTTAGTCTAGAAACATGTGAAGTTCTGCCTGAGCAAGGGGATTAAGGACATGACCCCTAGTCAGAATATCACAAGCCCATTGAAGGTTTGTGAGAGGGACTTCATCCTCGAGTACATTGAAAGGCAAGTGAGAAAAGGCTGCAAGCAGGAGTAGAGCCTGTTTCCGCTCAGCTGAGATAGGAGGAGGTGGCGGTTTATAAGGGGGAAAGACTTTCTCCATGGATAGAGCAATCTTTAGTTTCTCTGTCCAGGAAAGAATTGGTGGGGGAGAAGGTGTGCATACTTCAACTTCGGGGGACGAAGAAGAAGATGTGGACGCTTCTGTTTCCGGGGATGATACAGGGGCAGAAGGAACAAAGGCATTAATATAATCAACCTAGTCAGAAGAACAGAGCTTCGCCTTTTTGGCTAAGAATGATGGGTTATACCCTTGTGCTTCTTCTGGGCGTGGGGCAGTGTGCACTATCTTTGTAGGCATGGAAGATGTATACCATGCTACAAGAAGATTCTCCTCCAGACTACGCCGATAGTCAATGGGCACATAAGGATAAACAACTGAACTTCGAGCATAGGAGGGAAACTCTAAAGGGTCAGTGAACTCAACAAAATGGTGATTGATTCGCTCCCTTAAATCAGGAGTCTCAGGTACTGACCAGTTTGTCCAATCAGAACTTCCAGAAGAGCCAGAAGAGGGAGCAGCTGCAACTTTATCCCATACAGAAAGTTGCGAAGAAGAGCCTTTCAAATCCATATTCGTAATTTTACAAATCAGAGGTTTGAGAGCAGATTGTTCGAATTGTAAAGGTAGGTCAGAAGAAAAACTTCTTATGTCTTTGATTTTAGCCTTCTGAGTCAAAGGATTAAGAGCAATGTGTTCGTAATCCAAAAGTCGGTAATTTGCAAAGGCATCCATGACCTGAATATAGAAAGGTGGGTAAAGGTGGCTAATAAATGCATGCTTTCGACGAGGAATAACATCGACATATGACTCTTCGTATGCTTCATCATTGGAAGAAAGAATTAATTTGGCCATGAAATGTATCAATCTGTTCGAATAATAAGGCAGTGAAAGTACTTAAGGATCAAGACGAGAGTATTAATACAGGTGGTGTGTGACAGTTGCATTTCTGGGAAGATGCAAAACCCATGCACGTTCTAAGACGTGGGAAAAGGGACTCTGATCCACTAATATCACCAAATCTTGGGTATATTAGTGCGAGGGGTAATGTTGGCTACACATTTTGTACTAAGCCAGTGACAATCCGACGCGTGGCGAAGTAAGGGTAATATGGGGAGACCAGGTAGGTCTTCGATCCTGATCATACACGTGGCAATTAATATTTGTTGTTATAAGATCTGAGTAGTAGCAGATCAACAAAGAGACATACAGTGACGTGGCTTCGACGGTTACTCACATTTCAAATTCAAATATAAGGGGGAAGCCTAACTGCAAGTGAAGGCGTAGTGGGACTACTTATAAGGTAGCATGATCAGCAACTACGGAAGAGCAGTTCGACGGTTTGAAGTACAATTTGATGGTTATCTTCAGAGAGTATAAATAGCAGGAAGGACTTCAGAGAAGGGACGGAGAAAAATCTAAAGAATCACTTTACATATTCGAGTGTTATTTTCTGTCCTTTATATTCCTGTATTTTTAGTTTCTGCGCTGCACTTCATTTGCAGGAGTAGTTGTCAAGTATATTGCCGCTGTAATTCTCTACGGAACTAAGATCATTGTAAGTTCTTTTATACTAATGAAATACTCCAGTTTAGTTAACTGTTCTTATGTTCAAATTTTCTGAAGTTAAATTACCAGTAAGCCACCAGTAAAAGTCCTCTTTATTGAGGCCGAAAGAACCATAACACAATCGTCTGAATAATTGTTTGGCAATTCTGTAAGGACTGATTGATCCTTGCTGGCACGCTCATAATTACGAAAGTAACCTTCGAAAGCCAAAAAAGCCAACAAGAACAAATTCCAAAACTAGCTTACAGACCTCACTTGTTTGATAAACATTGGCTGCTTATTTCTATTTTAAATGATAATGTCACAGAATATACTTCAACCTGCCTCTACAGTTACCCAAATCTGCAATTCATGACTAATGCATCAATGGCCTACAATGAGAAATATGCTTTGAAATCTTGAACCTAAGTATTCCAACAATTATGAATGTGCAATGCACTGATACTCTCTAATCTTAAAACAAACCAGCCATCCCCAAATCCTTGCAAGGTTATAAACCTTCATCTCTGTTCGTTTTTTCCCAGTAACTGATGAACCAAGATAAAAGTGGCAAGTTCTCAAAAGTCCAGTCATATGATTGCAGTGGCCAGAACAAACTCTTACCTAAGAACAGTATCCAGAATTCCAGATTTAGCTACAGAAACCAATCCACTGATTTTAATACCTGGATTAGTCATGTTATACTTGATTCTTTCACAAAATCACTCTACTGAGAAAAAACTATCTATAAACACAGCTCAAAAAACCTTCGCTTTTCTGATTCAATTAATTGTACAGTATGCAATCCATTTCTCACATAAAAATAAATAAATAAATAAATAAATAAAGCCCAAATTAAAATTCGACCCCTCATGTCTGCATTGACCAATCAAATCTCAATTCGAAGATGTAGTTTATATTTTTTTTTCTTTCCAGCAAGGGAGCTCAAAGGAAGACCTTTTCCAAAAACAGGGTAGATGTTTTAAAATTGAGAATAGCCATGAAAGGGAAAGCTAACCAGGAAGGCTTGGTGTCCCAAACGGAGTCGTACTCGAGGGAGAGATAGTTCATATACCCATCCATATCATCGATGACTCCATTTTCATCCAGGAACGCGGACTCTTTCGGGTCATTCGAATTGCTTCCGAGAACTGAGGTTCTGCTGCGAAGAAGGGTCGGTCTCAGAGGGATTGAAGAGAGATTTGGGCAGGAAATGGGAATGGAGAGGTGGGTTTTTTGGGAATGAAAAAGTTGGGGTCGCAGTAAAGGACACGAGAGAGAAGGAAGAAGGAGGAGAGACGACGATGATACAGCTATCATTTTGGGGTGTGTGTGAATGTGTGAGTGAATTTGATGAGAGTCGATCCTGTGGTTCTCAAGATTGTTCCTTCGTCCAGACTCCACGGGTATATGGTCCGTTTTGCCATTTGCAGAGGTCATCTTGGTCCATGGGTTTTTTTGTGAATTACTTGGGTTGGGCCTAAAGGCCTCTCTCTGCTCGCATAAGAAGACGAGTTTTCAGTTTGATCGGTGTGCTCCTTACATAATTTCTCAGGTTCGATTTTTGGGGTTAGACTGTGAGAAAGTAATTTTTGGTGAATTTCGTAATTCTGACATGGATGACTTACCTTTGACCGGACTGGAGAGGGGATTAGTTGACGACATATGCATAAGTTAGCTCGGACACCTTGACCGCTGAACCAAACAAAAAATAAAATAAAATACTACCCGGAACAAGGTCTCAAAAAATAGTGAACCAACAAAAAATACGAGATCTCATGGAAAAAGTTGGGAATGTATGTTTACAATTTGAATGTGTGATGTAAAAATTAAATTTGATAGAGTGTGGATCACATCTAGAATGAATTTGATTGACACGTTTTAAATATTATTTTCCAGCATTTGTATAGCATTATTGTATTAAACTCATATAGAAACAGGACATGTCAATCAAATTGCATATTTTCTTCCTTTTGGCAATCAAAATCAGCATATGTTCTTTATTTTTCTGGACTGAGATTAAGCCATTGCTTAAATATATGTAGGTTGCTGTGTTTGGATAGTGAAAATAAAAAATCTCCACGTTGTTAGATGGGGGAGATTTGTATGGCTGTGGAACCACTA